CGGATCCTCGCTGCGCCACGCCCTGAGTCGCCCGCGGCTGCCAGTAGGGCTTTCCGTGACTTTTAGCAGACGGCTTGTGTCTTCTCCTCGTTGCCGCGAGGGCGTGCGTGCGGAGATTTCCCCTTTCCCCCTTCCTGATTGGCTGCGGGGGCCGAACTCCGGCTCGGGATTGGCCGGCGGCCTCCGGGAGAGCCGATCTCAAAGCTTGGAGCGAGTTCAGGTGTCGTCCCTTTTTGGGCTGCGGGGCTCCTGCAACTTTGGGGCGGGGCGGGTTGTGTGAGCGCGCGCCTCTCTCTCTCTCTCTCTGCCGCATTACGTTCAAGGAGAGCGAGGGGAGGGGAGGATTCCGGAGGGGGCCACGGGGAGGAAGAGGACGGAAAGGGGGCGAGGTCTCTCCCTTTGCTGCTAACAAAAAGTTGCCGTCGAGTCTCGGCCGGGGAGGCGCAGCTGTTAAGGGCCAGCGGGACCATGCGGGGACTGGCCGTCTTTGTTGCCTTGGCGCTGGCGCTGCTGGCCACCCATTGCAGAGGTAAGGAGGGAGCTGCTGGGGGGGGCAGCCTTTCCCTCGCCCCCCTTTTTGCGCCCCTGACTCGCGGTCCGCGTCCTCCGCCTGGAGCCGTTCCCCCTCCTCGCCCCCTTCCCTTCCTTCGCTCTCAAACAAAGGCGAGCGGGAGGAGACGAGGTGGGCAAGGCCGGCCCGGAGGGTCTCCTCAGAGAGTTGCCCGCTAGGGCTCGGCTGCTGCCTGGGCGGTCACGCCCTTAACAGCCGGGAGCCTTCCTGCCGCAGTGCCCCGCGAGAGGGTTTTTTTCTTTTGGGGGGGGGGCAGGCCGTCTGCACATGCTTCGGGGAGAGGGCGGCACCTCGCCCTGTTGGCCCCTTCGGGGCAAGCAGCCCGCTCTCTAGCCCGCGCTGCAAAATGGTATGGCCATCCCAAGGAAAACTTATGCTGTCCAAAAAAAGGGGGGGGGGTTAAAAGTATTGCTGTTTGTTATCCTGAACACCCCCGTGTAGATTTATTGCTAGGTTTTGGTTCCCTCAAATATTGATGCCCCGGGGGGCAGAGCCTCACTTGTTCCGCCCCAGTTTACAGCCCTGGCCAAAGACACCCTTTTCAGGGCCTTGTCTCTGGGAGGACTAGCCGAAGTTAATCGCCAAAGGCAGAGGGGTGGTTATTTGGGAAAACATCACGACAGCGGGCTGGACTTTGCCTTGAATTGTGTTAGGCCTGCAATCCTATGCATAAGCTCTATTGAACTCAGTGGAACAACAACAACAACAACAATAATAATAATTTTAGGACTACATAGCTCTATGGATCACAATAATAATAATAATAATAATAATTTTAGGACTACAGAGCTCTATGGATCGTTGAGTCAGAATCAAATTTCCAGTATCTGGTTCTGCAGCCAGAGATCTAAACCACTGAGTTATAATTGTAAACAAACTCAGTCCAGCTAACAGGATAGATTTGAGGCAGCCCTTTAAAGAAAAATAAGCAAAGATTGTTATCTTCAGAAGACATTTAGGGTTCCGTGTTAAGTAATCTGGAATAAATCTCACATAGGCACTTGCTGATAATTGGTGTGTAGAAAAATCCCACTGCCTCCTTCAGCTTGCATTTGAAAAGAAGAAGCTAGCGTAACAACAGCATATCCACAGAAACATAGTGTTAACGAAGAATGAACTTTGTAGGTTAACTACAGTATTGCTTTGGGAATATGACCATTCTTACTTGGTTTATTGCCCAGCAACATGACATTCTGGAAATACATCTAAACCTGACATGTCTCTGGCCAATTTCCATGGTATTTCTCAGTTGGCTGCAATATCTTGGGTTGGAATACCTCGCCGGAAATTTAGTTTGTTTTTGTTGATTGGCTACCATAGTTATCTACTAAGATTTTCTTCAAATCTTCCTTAACAAATTCTCATTTGTTACTGGATTAAACAAATTATAGGGCTGCAAATATTGATAGGTTTGTGTAAAATGTATTGCATATTGTTATCTAACAAAAAAAAAAGGGGTAGGTCCATTATCTTAAGGCTTACTAGGTCAGTGGTGGTGTGTCATTTTCTGCCTCTCCCCTTCAGTCAGTGGCCAAACTTTCTGTGATGCACATGCTGTAGGGTTTGCAAAAGGTAGCTGACCTTCAGCTTTGGGACCCTGGTGGAAATCAGTAAGCGTTGTCTGAAAGAGTAGATGAGGATCAGACTGTGCATAGGAGGAAAACCTCTCACAGCTTGTTGGGATACAGAGGGGCTACAGGAAGAAGTCAGTGAACTTCTAGTACTGTACTGTATCTGGGTTGGAAGTTTCTGTGGACTTGAGGTTCTTCTCCCTTCCTGTAGGTCTGCTCAAGAAAAAAGTTAGGTCTGAAAGTGGGAGGTGGAGGAGAGGTTGATTTGAAGACAGATGATATTGGCCTTTGAGGTAAAATGGTTAGGAAATAGGCCAGATCCCAAGGCTTCAGATCATTCAGGATGGATACTGTTGGGAGAGTCTTCAGGCTCCTGGTGTCACAGGAATGGCCATATTTGCTGCAACGAGGGATCTGCTCTTGCTTCATCCTCACGTTCTCTGCACAGGAGAAAGTCGGAAGGGGACAAACCTGAGCTCAGACCCAAGGGGGTCTGAAGGAGCATTCCTGCATCAGGTGCTTCCCTCAAAGAAGCTTCACATCTTTCCCTAGTTAAGGGGAACTGGTAAGAGTAAAGCCAGTTCCCAGACTGGAATGCTAGTTATAGAAGTATACCTAAAACCATGTTTTCTCCAATGGGGTGTAGTGAGGGTGTAGTGTGAGTATGATCTCTTATTGCAGATTTCAGCAAATGCTTGCTGACTCCACCTGGGTCCTAAAGCTAGAAATCAGTTAGGTCCTGCAAACTCTTGCTTCTTCTGGCCCTTTTTATATAGGAGTCAATAACGTCAAGTTTGAAAATATAAAGAATACAGACATTTACAAAAGACTTCACCAGACCAAGATAGTCTACAGGACAATAGAGTCTTATAGTAGGGTTAAAGTTAGGCAGAGATAATGAAGAATTTAAGAGAGAGAGAAAAAGAATTGTAGAATTACAGTAATTGTCTTAAAAATACAAGCTGTTTGTGTTACTCTTACACTGAATTGTTTGTATACTGTACTGTATATTTGCCCTAAATGGCGGCAGCTATGGTGGTGGGGTGGTGGTGGAGGGGGAAACGGTAAACCTTTCAAAATGATTTAGAAAGCGGGACGCACTGTGTTGGCTGGCTTAGTTGGAAGATATGTGTAACAGGGATAAGAGTTTGTCTTTACATAATATAAGCAGGGGAGTGTACGTGGTGCTTAACTTTCACCCTTTTTGGACATTTGGGAGCTGCTTGAGAGAGAGAGAGAGAGATGTTTTCCCTATTTCAAATCACATTTCCTGAATAATTAAGTGTGAAGAATGCCCTCATCTTTTGTTCTCGGTCTATATGAGTGTCATATATATATCATAATTTCAAACTATTTGGTTCCTGAAAGTGATGTTTTTCTAGGAAAGGCATTATCTTCTGAAGCCATTCTGCCCTGAAGTACTTGAGGAAAGGTATAATTTCCTCCTCTCTTTCGTTCGTTCCTCCCCACCCTTTTTTGTTGTTAACAGGGCCTTCTTTCTTGTTTAATCAGGTGAGCCTATGCTCTAAAGCCAGCATTAGTCCTACTTAGAAGAGGCCGGCAGAAGTTAGTGAAACTTCCTAGTTATTCAACTGACTTAAGTACTTTTGATTTTAGTGGGTGTGCTTTAGAAAGGATGAAGGTGGGGTTCAAATAGCTTCACTTTATATATAAGATCTAGAGCATCCTCTTGTATATACCATCCCTCTAACTGCCTTTTAAAAACATTACCAGATATTACAGTAAACTTTTAGAACTTATGCCATACAAGTATATTTTTGCTTTGCAACAATTTTGGTGTGGCATGTTGTAGACTAAGTAATCCCTATGTGGATGTGTGACTATTATACACATCACAGACATTAATCACTTCCTTAGCAACCACTGAAAACAGATATCATACAGTGTATGATATATAAATGTATGTAATATGTCTATAGCATTTTCAGTTACCTTGCAGTAGTGAACAAATAGAAATTACACATTTCTCAAGTGGTAATTTACAATTTAGCACATGTTGTCAATTGGTGCATGTGTTTTATGCATAAATGCAGACAAGGGATACTATTTTCTCCAGATATTAAGGATTATGATATCTCTAGTAGAATGTAGTGAATACTGAGCATCAGTTACATAAGTTGTCATAGAGGGAATCCTCTTTGCTGCAGAAAAAATTCTCATCTGTGGATGATAGTGAGAAGTAAAATACAGTAATTAATGACGGCAGTATGAATGTGCAAGCTTGTTCTGTTAATATAAATAAAACTATTGAGTCACTATTTTCTACCTCTTTATGAGGTCCTGCTTTCTTTTTAGGAGCTTGTATGCACAGAGTTATTTCAAACTGAAAGATTAGAAGCGATTGTTTTAGGTTACTCACAAGTGCATGAAATCTTTATGCATATGTCTGTGTTGTATATTTACATATGGATTTTATTGTATGCTGAAAGATGAGGATGATAGAATCAGAGATGATAGTCCAATGAGCAGGATGTGTAAGTATAGTACTAGTATGGCAGTTGGGACAGACATGCACACACACATGTTTAAGGCATAGCAACTGAAGGTACGTACCTGCAGGTAGTATTTTTTTTAAAAGTACAAGTTTGAACATTTGAATACTCATTGGACAACAGGTGTGCAGCTGAATGCAAATTAGACTTGAAGGGCCAATAGAGAAGAGTGGCATTCATGTTGAAAGACAACTGGGTAGGCCATTCTTTCCACATGTTCCTTGAACTCTCTTGATGGAAACATGCCAGTTTTAGCTAAACTGCATCCTTCTTTTTCCAGCTGACTCTTGAAAATCATCCTGGACTAGATTTTCCCCATTTGTAAAAGGATAAAAATGCATTCTGGAATTCATTGGTGAAGGACAGGCTCTTTCCACTGAGACTGCAGTTATAATATTTACCTTGGGCAAATCTTCTAAATTTTGTATTTTTTTCTGTACTCAGTAACAGGACCTGAGCTAAAAAGGGAAAACACCTTTACTCTTCTGTACAAAATACGTAATTTTTGCCATGACCAGATGAAAGCATCTTGATATTGACAGGACAGAGATTTGGTAAATTGACTCAGATTGATGCATGTTCTTAAGAGCACCTAATGCAGCCTCGCTGAAGGTGAGGAATTATGAGTTATGGAGACATCTTATAGATAATGCTCAGGAGATGCCCAGTACATCTCCAATTATTCACCATTTCCTTTGTGGTGAAATTTAGGAGTATGTTTGTATCTTCATTGAAATTGAACAGCTAGAGGCAAGAAGGAGGGGACTATGAGAGAGCTGCTAATTTATCGTCAAAACAAATAAGTTATTACCTGTTAATAAAATTAATAATGATGGAATGAGTTTCTAGTAGAAGCATTTAGTTGCTAGCAATC